GAACCCTTGCTTATTTAACACTACACCCGGGCTCCGGTGTAGCGGCCCTTGCACACTTTTCACTGTATTCAGGCTATACAGCGCGTCGCTTCCAGGGGACGCCCTAGCACTTACACAATGATCAAAAGGATTCATGTCATGATTTTTTCGACAAGTTTTACGCTGGCTGTCGACTACCTAACGCAACCCTCCACTTTTCTCATCCGGGCTTGAGACCGGCAACGGCAGTGTTACAAGCTAGGCCTCGCACAAGAAAATTTAATTTACAGAATAACTGATCCCCTTAAATATAAATATGTATAAATATTTTAGTGGGCAATAGCTACAACTCCTATTTAATTTTGGCTTGGCTTTATCATGTTTTTTTTTTAATCATGAGAAGTAGTTTTGCCTCCAAATTTGTCAAAAGAAAGAAAAACATGTAAGTAAATATTTTTCAAAATCTATATTAATTACATACACTCAATTTATAATAGATAAATCCTATGCTAAAGAATATGAGACAACAACAACAACAACAACAACAACAAAACCTTAATCCCACTACATGGGGTCGGCTAAAGAATATGAGACACTATAAATTTTTAATAATAGCTTAAATATTTTATGCTATAGTTGTAAACAACTCTAAAAAATTTAAACGGGAAATTTATATTATGGACATATAGTACTATAGCTTGCATTAGTCGGAAGCCTCAATTGAGTTGTTAGGCTCGCCAATAGCTATACAGAAAGGTTCAATTGTGTGACTTCTTATTCCTCATTAATCAGCACAACTTTGGTCCCATGGAGGATAACTGATGGTACCATTGAAAGTTGAAACCATTCATGACTCGAAGTCAGATAAAAGGTTATGTCACCTTTGCTGCTAGCAACAATAACATCGTGAATTCTGCTCGAGGTGGCGAAACTTAGGCCAACTAACTTATAGCTTCGAAAAATGGGAGTGATAAACACATGCTACTTGTTATTACTCATCTTTGAGTGTTGTCTGCAGAGATTATTGTTGCAATTCATGACAAGTAATTGTGACAACCATTGCTGATGTGCGCAATGCCTCTAAGGTACATTAATGTATTGTGTTTTCTGCAAGTATCACTGGCATAATATAAACTTTTGTTTTCACGTATGATATCTAAACGAAGAGTTGATTTGGCCAAAAAGCTAAAAGGATTCATCTATGATGACCCAAGATGACACCTCAACAAAGCACTTATAGAAGAGAACCAAATTAAGCATATTCTAACACAAGCCATTTGCATCATAGGTGGTCGTGCAAGCAATTCTTGAAGGAACTAGAGTAGAAGTTTGGAAGCTTGCGTGCCTCAAACAACTATGGTCAGGAGACGTACATGTTTCTTCAACTTGAGATTGATTTTGGAGGTTACAATAACTTTTGTTGAAACCGAATGGCCAACTACCAGGAACCTCTTCCATGATGCGGTCATTATTGTTGCATTGATTGCCAACTAAATTGATACTATTATTATTGGCACAAGGAGTTTTGTAAATATTATTTTTAATTGTGTTTTTGTTCAAATAAACTTCAACTCCTTTTATGTATTGTTGGGTCACTTGATTTCTCTAGCTAGAGTAGGGAAACTAAAGGTGTGGTCACATTGTAATTCCTTAGGGGAGAGCAATCAAATGCATTTCGTCATGGTAAATTTATCATGGTCAAAGCCCCAATGTCCTACAAAACCATTTTTGATCGTTCACTTCTTAGGAAATTTTAAGGCAATTGTTTAAACTCTCTAAGTGTCATGATTTTTCGATAAAAATTTTACGATGGTTGTTAATTACCTAACGCATCCCTTCACTTTTCTCATAGTCAGTGACAAGTCCACCATGGAAGTTATACATTTATCGAGAGGGTTGATAGAGAAGTATAGAGAGAATAATGAGGATCTAGATATGATTTTTATTGATTTAGAAAAAGCTTACGATAAGGTTCCAAGAGAAGCTTTTTAAAGAGTTCTAGAAAAGAAATGTGTTGATATGATTTATGTTCAAGTCATTAAAGATATATATACTAGAGTTATTACTTGTGTTCGAACAGAAGGAGGATTGGCCAAGTATTTTTCTATTTCAGCTGGATTATATCAGGGATCAGCTTTAAGCCTATATCTTTTTGCTTTAGTTATGGATGCTATTCTTCTTGTGAATAAGACTAGAGAAAGAATTCAGGAAAAACTTGAATTATGGAGATCTATATTGGGAATCTGAAGGCCTTTGTTTCAGTAGACCTAAAACTAAATACATGAAACGTAATTTTATTAGTAGTGGCTATAGTGGCAGAGTTGTAAGTATGGTTGATCAAATCAGTAAAAGTTGTGAGCGTTTTAGATATTTCGGGTCTATTGTTCAAAGTGATGGTGATATAAATAGGAATGTTATTAGTAGAATTCAAGTTGATTGGTTGAAGTGGAGGAATGCTTCGGGCCTATTGTGTGATAGAAAAGTATCCTTTAAAGGAAAATGTTATAAGATGCTGATGAGATCAACAATACTTTATGGCGCAAAAATGTTGGCCTTTAAAAGAGAAGCATAAAACAAATTTAAATGTTTCTGGGATGAGAATGCTTAGGTGGATGAGTGGTTTGACACTTACATAAAAATTTGAAATGAATCTATCTGTGAAAGGGCTGGTGTAGCTCTAGTGCCAGACAAGATTAGAGAGAGTCGTCTTAAATGATTTGGTCATATTAAATATCGACCATCTGATGATCCGGTTTGGAGAGTGGATGTTTTAGATTTGACTTATGTTAAGAAAGGCAGAGGTAGACCTAAATAGACTAAGGCATATTGTATAAAACATGTTCTCACTCTGTTAGAATTAAATGAAAATATGATGCAATAAAACACAAGGGGAACAAGGATTCATGCAGCCAACTCCACTTAGTGGAATAAAGGCTTGTTGTTGTTGTTGTTTTCTCAACTCTCCAAGTGGCAATAAAATTTCATACAAGAGAGTCCTCTTTCATCATTTGAAGAGAATTACTGTAATTTTGTGCATGCTATCTCAAAGCGATTAGAGTAGTCCATGTGGAGTTTCTGCAACTAGGATCAAAGATAAGTTTTTCTTAAAGCCTACGAGAAGATTGAGGAAATTGCTCTCTCTAACAATGGCCCACTCAAACTTTTCACGTTAGCATTTCCTTTGACTCGGGCCACAGGGAAGAAAAGGCCAACACCCTTTGATCAAATACTGATATATGCATGTATTATCATTTTGAAGCTATATGCCCATCCCTTTTACTAGTGAAATCTCTTGTTGGCACTAATTGTCCCAATTGATAATCGACAATAAGTGTATTTCAATTACTTCATAAAGATTTTATCATAGCCCACAATAATTTCTAATTGAACTTTGGTTGATAAATTTTTTGGCTTTAAAGCTGTTGAGGGCACCTTGAACTTTGTAGGAAGGGTTTTAAGTGGTTTGGGTTGACGATTAGTCCGTGCATCAATATCATTCCTTTGAAAGCCCTATTATGTTGGCCCTAGTGGGCATGGGTTTGGATTGGTTAACTCCAATGTATTTCTATGGTAGTCCATAAATCTATTCATTATTTAAAGACATAACATAACTCCATCGCCTATCATCACACTACACTAGATTTGGTTAAAAAATAATTTGAGATATTGGACTAATTTCATCTTATAAATATAAAAATAAAACTATTTCTTGATAAATCACTTATATAATGAATTAGTTATATAAATATAATTAATTGAGTTTGCTCACATCAAGTTTTAACTTTAGACATCATAAATTTAATTTTCAAAATGAATTTTTAGCTTGATTCTCTTGCTTCATATTTGACTCAACATGCTCAACTTGATTTTTTACAGACTAAAATAATTGAATGTATTTCTATTTTAATAATTATAGAAGTATATTATCATATTTTAAGTGGGCTTTAGATGAGTCTTAATGGGAAGCCTCTCAAAGACCATAATAAATTTGTGCTAGCTCAAGTTCAAAAAAGGTGTTTGATGGCCTAAATAAATGCGCTTTAGGGTGCTTGAACAACCCATTTGACTCCTTTTCTATTGGTTTAGCAAACTGGTCCTGATAATCTTAAGGTTGTATTTTGAAGTTTTCTGACATTAATATACGATATTCTTTCTCATTATGCAAGTTAAATTTTAAAATCTGCATTTTTTCGTATTTGAGAAGATAGTTTTATTTTGATGATATCGCTAGGGGTGTAAACGAGCCGAACACGTGCGAGCTCAGGTTTAGCTTGTGTTCGGCTCGTTTATATTTCGAGCTCAAAAATTGTGTTTGTGTTCGGCTCATTTGCTTAGTGAGCCGAACATGAGCCGTTCACGAACAAAAAAATCGTTTTGACAACCCTAATCACATAGCCATAAGATGTTAAGGATTGGGACAAGATTTAAAATATTATTTGAATCTAAATTAATAATTTTTATTCTATTTTCTTTATTAATACTTTTAATTGATTATAAATCTTTGTAGCCTTGTAGTCAATAATTTTTTTTAAAAATACTACTCATCAAAGATATATATATAATTGATTAGTAGTATTTCGAGCCAAAATGAGCCGAACACGAACGAACAAAAATTTATTTGTGTTGTTCTTGTTCAGCTCGTTAACTTAGCGAACGAGCCGAACATGAGCTGTTCGCGAACAACGAGCCGTTTTGACAGCCCTAGTTATCGCAGTGCAAATACGTGATCAGTGTCAATTTATTCTTGTATGCTCAATGGCTTCAATGGCAGTTGATTGAATGCGAGTTTTTTATTTGTTGGACGTGTTTGATGCCAATTTTACAGCCATCTGAGATCTTGGCCCAGTTAGTGGAAGAACTCATAAGATAATCTGTCTATGCAATCATAAATAAGACTTTATATTCTTATGGCAGTAACTTCATAAAAATAATTTATTCATTTTCTGATGCTTCTGTATTTTTGTCTTATCTCCCAGTATGGTGTTAAAATATTTGTCATAACATCGTTCAGAGACACCTGCTACATAGAAATCCTGCCCAATGACCAACGGTCTAAGCGAGGTATGTTTATGTAAGCTCTCTAATGTTGAATTGTGGTTCCATGCAGCCAACTGTTGTATATTCAAAAGGTGATTTTAAATTAAGCTTGTTTTCTATATGTGGTTACCATTTATTACAATAATGGTGGGGATTAACACTCGAACATTCTTAATAACAGTTGCTATACTGTAGGAATAATCATGAATTGTTTTTCTCTTTTTATGTTCATTATTTCCTTAATGGTAGAGCATGACTTTTCAACATTAATTTTATACGGAAAGTATAATGACGAGTAAAGGGTCAAAAAAAAAAAAAAAGTCCCCCGACTATTTATATACGATTATTTTAGTCCTCTATTAAAGTGTCAAATTAGTCCTTAGAATCTTTTAAAAGTCTCGGGACTAAATTGTTATTTTGATATACGCTTGGACTAAAATGACCTCCTGGAAAGAGTCGGGACTATTCTGACACTTCTCTCATATAAAAATCGATGATATATTCTGTCGGGGACTAATCAAGGGTTTCTTAAGTTGTACCAATCAAATCCTCCAAGATATTTTCAGATTTCCTTGAGGATTTTCTCAAATTTCCTCCAGGACCTTCTCAGATTTCTACACCCCCTCAAGCAGGGTTGTAGATATTGTAAAGATCAAGCTTGATATTGAACTTTGAGAAGGTGCTTAAAGGAAGAGCTTTAGTGAAGACATCAACAACTTTTTGTGTCGGGATGTAGCTTAGTTGTATAAATCTCCCATTCACCTTTTCAAATATGGAGTGGCTAGCAACGTCAATATGCTTGGTCCTGTCATGATGCGCGGGATTCTTGATAATACGGATAATTGTTTTTGTTATTTTGACCCCCAATTAATAAACTAAGGTAAAAGGATAATTTTGTAATATGGCACCGCCACCTACCACATCTCACCTACCGCTTCTCACCTACCACTCTCTTGCTTCTATAAATAGAGAGGGTGTGAGGCTTAGGAGAGCAAGGGAAGAGATCTTAAGCTACCACAAAGGAGGAGAGAATAGCTAGAGAGCTAGAGAGGAGGAGAGCATCTTGAGGCCTTGTATCAAGGTGTCGCTTGAGATGGAGGCCATAGAAGGAAGATGAGGGCTCATTTCTATGTATAAGCTATGAATTCTTCATTTTTTTTGCCTTAGTGAACTATTTGATTGATTCCCTCCCGTGAACGTAGATCCAGTTGGATCAAACCACGTAAACGATCTGTGTTTGCTTGCGTTCTTTGCGTTTCATTTCTATGCCAGAAAGTACATATCTCACAACAATTGACGTCATATGTGGGAAGATCCATACTTCTTGGCTAGAGGTGTCCGGGTAAAGGTGTTCGCGGCTAGCGACGAAGAAGAGAAGTTCGATATTCACGAACAGAGGAGCAAGCGGATCGTGTCGCAGGTAGCTGAATTGCGACAGATTCGGTGAGCAGTGAAAGCTTTGATCGACTGGATTAGCACTGTAGGTTTTGCGGTTCGGCGAGACGGAGGAGGAACTGCCCGTGAAGGAGCAGAGGAAGGCGGGTCGTTCGGTCCGCGAAGTTGCAGATCTCACGAAGGAGGATTTCCGCGACAGCTAGCATACGCCGCGACAACTCTCGGAATTCTGTAGGTGCTCAGGGGAGCGGATTTCAGACGTTAGTGGGGATCGAGCCACAATAATGGGTTCCGCCAAATTCGACATCGAGAAATTCAACGGGAATAATGATTTTGGTCTATGGAGAGTAAAGATGAGAGCTCTATTGGTTCAGTAGGGTGTTGCAGAAGCCTTGCAAGGGTCGGCG